CCCTCCGGAACTCTCCGAGCCGCTTCCATTCCACGAGGGTCGCACGCCGCCGCGCCGCCACAGACACACAAGCTGTTCTTCATTAAGACCACAAACACCAGCTATTGAGAGAGGAAAACAGGGGGGGCGATGCCCCTTTTCGGGCAGGAGATAATAGAAGAAGGGGGGGGGCAACAACAACGACAACAACAAAGACTCTCATTGTGCCGCTGTCATCCAATGAGACGCCCGACACCCAGAACCCTCAGCCACCCTCGCCCCGTGCACCCCGCCGACTCTGCTGTTCCCATAGCAACAAGACACAGGGAGGAGGAGGCAGCGGGAGGCGGGTGGCGGGGGGACGGGGGGGGGGTGAAGAAGAGAGGAAGTGTGCTAAAGATTAGGATGGAATTTTGCTGCTGCTGCTGCCGCTGCCTGGATTTGACCAATCTGGTGTTGAGGCTTTAAGATGCTCTAATTCCTTTTCCCTGACTTCCCTCTATCTCTCACACACACACACACACACGCACACACGCACGCACGCACACACGCACGCACGCACACGCACACGGAATCTCTCGGTCAGGCTCACGTGAGCTGGAAAGCATAATATTCGGGGGATAATTCTGAGAACTGCGCTGTCGAAGAAGAAGTGGGAGGAAGTAAAGCATCATTTTTCCATTAAAACGGTTTCGTTAAGCACCCAAATATTAAATACTTTTTTTTAGTTCCTTGATTTTATAAATACGCGATCCCTTCGTGCTTGGGCACCAAACCCCGAGAGGACAAACGTTATTGATTTGTGACCTTGTGACCCCCCCATTAAGACTGAGATGTAAACACGTTCATGCTCCCGACCGATTTATTGTCGGTACGTCGGTGGCTGCTGTAGAGAACCCCGCCCCTAGGGGTCAGAGGTCGTGTCCTCCGTAGGTGGACCTCCTGCTGGCTGGAAAGGACTTCACCAGCAGAGGACGGTTGGCTGCTTTGAAAGGACCTCGTCCACCAGAAGCACCACGAACACGGGAACGTGTTCACGGTTTCAACAAAAGTCTCCGGCTTGAATAGAGATTTGCAATTTACAATTCAATCCAATGCAACGATACATTTTTCTCCAAAGAAGCGGATTTGTTTAAGGTGACTCTGCATTCGGTTCCTGCTGCCAGTTTCACCTCGAAAAGAAAACTACATTAACTGCCCGCAATTCGGTTCATAATACAAATCAAAAGGCAGAAATTGAAAGCGATTCATATTCACGAAGGTCATCGTTGACCTTGGGAGCAGATATTTATGATAAGATATTCTAAGCCTAAGCTTCGCTTACCGTGGGAGCGTTTATTTTTCATCCGTGTCGTTACTGAAGTCAAATATGAGAGAAATAAAAGTCTGTTGACCTGAAAATAAGTTTTGAATAATCGAATGGCGAGATTTCATTTTCAAGACACCATTGAAGTGTCTCCGTCCCCCGTTATCAAAGTCATTAATGTTTAATGTACTTAAGTATCAACACCGTCTTTATCTGCAGCTTCAACTCCTCAGGTGTTTTTATCCGGGTAGAAAAATATCAAATATAGATTAAGACCTGAGAAACAACCAAGATTACACGTATTTCACCCACCAGCGCTTCCCTCATATTGTGTGTGTGTGTGTGTATACGGCAGCGTGTGTGCGTGTGTGTGTCCTCTCATTAGCGCGCAGTAGCTCGTTAGCACGGAGCTAGCTGAGCGTCGGGGCACCAGGCAGCTTCATTAGCCACTGTGACATTTATCTGATCCACCGCCGCGTCTCCATGGCAACCCTCAGATGCAAACACGGCAACGCGTACCGCCGAAATCACATGGCCTCACGTGGACCCAGACCCACAGACCCAGGTCCTCCAGCAGGGACCAGTCCACCATAAACAGACCCAGGTCCTCCAGCAGGGACCAGTCCACCATAAACAGACCCAGGTCCTCCAGCAGGGACCAGTCCACCATAAACAGACCCAGGTCCTCCAGCGGGGACCAGTCCACCATAAACAGACCCAGGTCCTCCAGCAGAGACTAGTCCACCATAAACAGACCCAGGTCCTCCAGCAGAGACCAGTCCACCATAAACAGACCCAGGTCCTCCAGCAGGGACCAGCCCACCATAAACAGACCCAGGTCCTCCAGCAGAGACCAGTCCACCGTGGACAGACCCAGGTCCTCCAACAGGGACCGGTCCACCATAAACAGACCCAGGTCCCCTGGCAGGGACCAGTCCACCATAAACAGACCCAGGTCCTCCGGCAGGGACCAGTCCACCGTGGACAGATCCAGGTCCTCCAGCAGAGACCAGTTCACCATAAACAGACCCAGGTCCTCCAGCAGGGACCGGTCCACCATAAACAGACCCCGGTCCTCCAGCAGGGACCAGTCCACCATAAACAGATCCAGATCTGTTAGAATTTTAGAACAACAACAGATTTCTATTAAACAACAACATATGATATGAATGTTTTGCATCAATTTGTGTGTGATAACATCTCACCACATGTGCGTGTGTCACGGTGTGTGTTTGGTTAGCTGACCTTGGCTGCCCTGCTCCCTCCGGGGTGTTGGGGGCCATGGGGGGGCCATGGGGGCCATGGGAGGGGGGGGGACGACTGATGTTTCTCACTCTGCTTGTCAACAAGATTAGTTCCCCTGTGGGACCGTTACACACCCTACAAACACGCTGCCAATGAAGTGTGTGACAGCTCGGCCCCTCCACCAAACCCACTGAAGTGTGTGCGTCTGTGTGTGTGTGTGTGTGTGTGTGTGTGATTGTTTGCACTGTGATCGAGGGGTTAAGGGAGTCAGAGAGGATGTGTGTTTTAGAGCAGAAACAGAAGGGAAAAACAGCAGGAGGATCAGCGCAGCCAGCCTGAACTGTAGCCTGTGTGCATGCGTGTGCGTGTGCGTGTGCGTTGCGTCAGAGAGCCCATGCTGAGCTCTGGGCTGTGCTTACTCCTGGACCTCATCTGCATCCGTCTCTCTGTCTCCAGCCTCTCCAACGTGGAGGTGACCTGCCTTCCTCTCCCATCTGAGACCTGGAGACTCTCACAAGCGCAGATGGACAATGTTCAATCAATGATGTAATCGGCAGGTTACTAGATAATGAAAAACAATAATCTGTGACGGTAGGTCACATGACCACGGAGACGTTTCACCGACTCTGCAGTTCTCCTCAGATCTGCACGCTGCTTTTTCTCTTAGCGTCTTTCAGCTGAGTTGGCTCATTTAAAAGCCAATTACCGCGGCGCGAATGAGCTTTTAGCCAAACACCGCGTCCAGAACAATAAAAGCGTGCAAACTGCCCCCCCGTCCCCCCACCCCCGTCCCCCCCTCCCCGGGCCGCGTCTGAGTGAAGAGTCAGCAGGAACCCAACCGCACTGTAAAGGGTCTCTTTTTTTAAAACGTGTGCGTTGTGAGGACCACGGCCGCGCGGTCGTAACCGGGCAACAACGCGCCTTCTACCTCTTCCGTCCTCTTCGTGCTAAGCTAAGCTAACCGGGTGGCTCTAAGGGAGCGAGAGGAAGCTGGTGAACGAACGAATGGTTCCTCGGTCTAACGTGAGGCAACAACATCACTTCTTCTTCTTCTTCTTCTTCTTCTTCTTCTTCTTCTTCTTCTTCTTCTTCTTCTTCTTCTTCTGTTCTCAGCGTAGATCGGCCCCCTGTCACGGCCCCCCGGAGTGATGGAAGCAATAGTTAAGCCATTAAGGCAAACGATCGGCTCCAATTGAGAGGGGATGGGAGGGCGGGGGGGGGGGGCATCCTCTCAACGACTTAATCCCACGTGCACGCTAAAGCTAAAGCTCCGTCTTGCAATAACACTTTGTCAGTCTTGGTCGGGGGGGGGGGACTCATTCCTTTGTAGCGAGCAGTTTTAGACTCATATTCCATCGTCTCTGTTGCCCCCCCGTGTCTAAACATCAGCTGACAGGGCCGGTAACTCCTCTGTTCCCCCCCACTGCCTCGGGATGGCCACTCCCCCCCCACCACCCCCTCGCAATTCATCGGACAGCTCAGCGAGGAGCGGTTGCTGCCCCCGAGGACTGTTTGCGCCGGCTCGTTGACTCCGCCTCCGGTCGCGGCGTTTTATTTGACACCTTTAAGTCCTTTAAAGAATCGGCCTTTCTGCAGAAGATGGATGGCTGCGTCCAAAGGTCTGGATGTCCCCCCCCCGACGTGCAGCCATCTTAAATAGGCCGCCAGCCTCGATGGCGTTGGTGGCGCCGTCACGCCTCGTCCCGCAGCTCTGAGGTCCACCTCCATCCTTCGCCTCCGTACGCGTTCCAGATGTGGAACCAGCGCCTGTCAAAGGGCCCCTGATCTTTCGGCGACCCCCTCCCTCCGCCGCGCCGCCGATCCGCTCCAAAAAAAAGGCCGACGATGTCGGGAGTGAATACTCTCTTGATGCGGCGGCGTCCTGAGGAGACCCGTCGGCGAATCCCCGATTCCCCCGCTATGAGAGAGAAATCCACTTTTCGGGTCAGCGGGACGCGTCGGCCTCCTGGCGGCGTCGGCGGGCTTCAGGGCGATCCGAGGGCAGAGCGGCGCGTTCGGCCGGTTTCAGAGGCCGTTTATCGATTTTCAATTAGCTGCAGAGCTCCTGTCCCGAGATGTGCTCCTCAGGACGCCGCAGCCCGACGAGAAATGCTCCCGCTTCACAATTCTGCCCTGAAGAATGTTCTGTTTTGGACCTTCGGGTAACCGAAGGAGTGTTTGTGACAATAATGCGTCACTAAACAGAAGAGGGAAACAGTTTGTTCTCGGCTCTTGAATAGATGACATTTTGCAGCTTTTCAAAAGCACAGCAGGGTTTTATTTCACGTGACACACCGTGTGTCCTCTTTGATTTTTCCTTTTCAACTAAATAGCAAGACTTATATATATTCATATCAAATATTATATAAATGTTCCGTTTAATTGAAAAAAGGCTCCAGGTCGAGTTCTTCTCCCAATTTACCCCCAAAACGTGTTATTGTCCAGCTGGGACCATATGAGCCGCTAACGCCCCCCCTCCTCTCTCTCCGACAGTAACGGCACAGCCGGGAAGATGAACGGGGCGCTGGAGCATTCGGACCAGCCGGACCCGGACGCCATCAAGATGTTCGTGGGTCAGATCCCGCGCTCCTGGTCAGAGAAGGAGCTGAAGGAGCTGTTTGAGCCGTACGGAGCCGTGTACCAGATCAACATCCTCCGGGACCGCAGCCAGAACCCCCCCCAGAGCAAAGGTAGGCGGGACTCCTCCCCCCCTCCCCCCCACACACACACACACGCACACACACACCTTTTCTATTTCCTCCAGCTGAAGGAAACGGAAGGAGGAAGCTGCCATTCCTCCAGCTGACATGCTGACATCCTTTATTAGTCCTATTTCCTCCTTTCTTCCCTCCGTGTTTCCTCCTTCATCCGTCTTGTCTTTATTCTCTCCTTCCGCACTCAATCTTTCTGACCTTGTTCCCTTCATCTGTCCTCTCTCCCACTATGAGTCTGATCTGTGATGCAGATATAAAACCACCATCCAAAGTGTAAATTAACTCGGGGAGGAATTTCCACGCCGATGGGTCGGGCAGGAGGCCGTTCGTCGAGTGAACGATTTGCAAGCAATTTAAACTGATCAATGTATTTATTGATTCATTTCCTCGTAGACTCCTATGGGACCAGGAGGGGAGGCGCCCCCTGGTGGACATTAGAGGGAATGCCGAGTGCGCGGCGCTGTTTCTTTCACAAACGCTGACTCCTGTAGGTCAGAGGTCAACGGGGGCAGTGCCAGCAGATCACCAGCAATAAAAGAGTTCACTCCGCGCACGCGTGGTCGACCCCGGGAGCTAACGGACAAACTAATGCTAGTGCTAATTAGTGATGCTAAAGGACACGTTTCATTTCATTCAAAAGGGGTCGGCCGCCCAGGACTTGGTCCGGAAAGGCCGCCGTGCTGTAGGCGAGCGCCTCCCTGGGCAGCGTCACAGAGGCAGACGAGGTGACGAGAAATGTCGGGTTCTGAAATGGAATTTCCAACAGCTAAAAGCGGCGGCGTTGCTCACGCGTCCTGACGGCGGCGTGCCATCAGGAGCCTGATGCCCAATCAACTCCTTTTGTTTGAGTCTTTTAGCCTCGAGATGACTCCTCTTCACGCCAGTCTCCTCTGCCTCCGTCACGCACACACACAGACGCCGCACGCACGCACACGCCGCACGCACACACGCCGCTCGCACACACGCCGCTCGCACACACCAGAGGGGCCAAAGTTCCTCCTCGTTTCCAGCAGCTTCCTCAAATCTCCCGCTCCGTCTTCGCCGCCCTTGAAAACGAGTTGTTTTCGTGGCTGATGAGTCGAGAGTAGCGCTCACAGCCGCTTCCACCGGGGATCAAACGCACGCCGCCACATCGCGAGCCTTTTTGTTTTGCTTCTTCCAGAACAATCTCCCCCTGCACGGCTCGTTTTTTTATTTATTTCTTTTTTTTCGCTGTGGCGCCTGCAAGGTGGAGTGTTTTAAGAGGAAATGTAGCATGTGATTGGGCTCTTACTGGCCTCGCTGCTCGCTGCTGTTGTTGTTGTTGTTGTTGTTGTTTACCCACAGTTAAGTAAGCCGCGCAGCCTCGTCTGACCTCGCTCGATTCCGGGGAGCCGCAACGCCCCGTCGCCGCTTTCACCGGTGTCAGGAAAACGCTGGCCCCTCGCTTCCCTCGCCGTGTTTATTTTAAATTAGCTGCGGTGTTGTTTGAAAAGTAGCTCGGCCGTTCAGTTGCGTGTGCGTGTGTGCGTGTGCATGTGTGTGTGTGTGTGTGTGTTGTGGGGGGGGGGGTTGATCCCGCCCTGATGCCCCAGTTGTGACCCACGGACACTTTTCCCGGCTTTGTCCCTCGCGTGGAGCAGCAGCTTTAAATGAGCTTGTTAGTCCCGCTGAGACGCAGCGAGCAGCTCCTCGCCCTTTTTTTTCGTTCCCTAACGAGCCGCACCACGTGAAGACGCGTCTCCGTCCCCCGCTCGCCGACAGGTAGAGCTCGGAGGTTCCCATGGGAACGAAGGGGTCGGCAGGTCGCTCATATAGTCCATTTTATTTTCATTGGGTTGAACCGGCGTGTTTTGCTTTGATGTAAAATGTTGTTTTTCATAATGGCAATCAGACTTTGGACTCGCAAAGCTATGAATAAATTACTGATTAATTACAGGATTCTGGAAGATAAAAAGACTGAACGCTCGCTCAGAGCTCCGGCTGCAGCGTCAAAACCACAGAGTGGGAATCTGGAGATCAGCGTAATCCTTCTGTTTTATTATTGTCGTCCTCTGGCGTCACATGACGGCCGTACGTGCTGTTCGAGAGGCTCCTTCAGCCCGACGAGGATCGGATTCCTCCCAGCAGACACCAGCCTGGAAGCTCTCGCCGTGGACGGATGTCCTCGCGCCTCCAAAGATCCACGTTGCAAATGATTTAAAAATGATCTCGGGTTCGCGAGACGCCAAAGCGCCGGTGAGCTCTGCTCCAATAACATCCCAGAATAGTTCCTTCTGGCCCCCGAAAGCATTAAATGGTGTCGCCGTCGTGCGTCACGCCGAATCCATTTTCGCAGTTTGACCAGGTGTGTGCATCCGAGCGCTTCGCGCCGACCAGGCCGGTCTGGGGAATATCGCGGCGCCACTGTCGCTTTAATGCGCTCGGAGTTAATAAGCAGATGAGTGGACGAGCTGGGGAGGGAGGGGGGGGGGGGGGGGGGGGGGGGCGAGTGAGAAATGGAGCAATTTGGCATTTTGTGCTGAGAGAGAGAGAGATGGAGATGGAGGGAGAGATAAAGAGAGAACCAGACAAAGGAGCCAGAGGGGTAAACAGAAAATGGTCCTCTCGCTAAAACACGAGCGTATAAGCGCCTTGACGGGTTTTGTTGCCGCCGTGTGTGCGTGTGTGTGTGTGTGTGTGTGTTTTGGCAGGGGACGGGCGATGTCATTTATCTTAATGATACAGCCTGCCCACATGAGCCGCCCGAGACACAAGCGCACACACTTAAGTTCACGCGTGCACGCGGTAAGTTTAATGTCTTCATTAACGCGATATCCTGCGTCTCTGTGCACAACGAGAGAAAATAAGCGCATAAATCAGGAGGTAATTCAAGAGAAATGAGCAGCGTGCAGTTTGACTCGGATGGAAACATTATTATAATTTACCTCCCGATAAAGCGTGTCGTCTTTCAGACCCTGCAGAACACAAAGCAGGGCCGCGTCATAATGCACTGCAAACAATATTTATTGTTGTCATTATGTTGTGTAGTTATTATGCTATTATTATTATTATCATTGTTATGCACGCAGAATGGTGGAAGCATTGTTTAAATGTTTTATTGGTGAATAATCACCTGAAGTGTTTCCACTTGCTTATGAGGGTGGTGGGGGGGGTCACAATATGAACCAGATCTGATCCAAGAACAGAGACGCTTTGATTGACAGCTGAGGTGTTTCCCCCATGAACCTCCTTCAGAGCAACAAGGGACAACCAATGACGCCGGAAACGCTTTCAGACGCATTTCAAACTACATTCGTATATAAATGCTGTCATGGTTTTGGCATCAATGGGCCGAGCGGCAGAATAAGGTTTTGGGTTTCCGATCTCCGGGACTCGAACCCCCCCAACCCGTCGTCCTTGAGCCGCACGCCGACGGCTTCCTCTCGCTCGGCTGTGGCGACGGCGTGCCAGACGATTGTCGGCGGCGCTAATGGATCCGGTTGAGACGGGGCCGAGCCGAGGCCGAGGCCGAGCCCTCGTTTATTTCGCTCTCTCTCCCAAAAGCAGAGCGGCCAATTAAATCGCCTCCGACTTGTTTCTACCCATTAGAGAGCAGCCGCAGGTGGATTTTTAATGGCCGCCCGCCTCCAAGTTTCCTCGCGGTCTCGGCGCGGAGACGGTCGCTTGGTTTGGAAGGGAAGTTGACTTAAAAAATGAAAAAAAAATGTTTTCCTTCCGAGACCCTTGGGGGTCGAGCACAAACGGCTTGGAGTTTCTCTGGAAAGTGTCTCCTCCAACCGATTAAGGGGGGGTAGAGGGGTTGAACGGCCGCGCCTTTGTTCTCTTTCCCACAAAAGTACCCAGCCGGATTGTGCAGATCTGTGAGCGCCCGCGAGCTGGACCCCTCCCTGCGTCGACAGGATAGAACCATCACCCAAGCCCCCTTCAGAGAGGCGCCATTGTTTAAGGCCGCCCATTCATCCGCCCCCGACAAATCTGTTCTTTATGGGGCTGTACACATGGAAAATGTCTCTTGTGTAATCCCCTTCCTCCCCCCCCCCCCCCCCGTCCACATCCCGCTGTCACTCAGCGGCGCTCTGAAGCTTGTAAATTACACACGTTGAGGGGCTTATTCACGGGCCGGGAGGAGGGAGAGGCGGAGCTTCTCTCTACTCCATCCAGAGGAGCAGCGCCGCTTAGCAGCGCGGGGTCGGTGGTGGGGCGGCGAGCCGGAGGTCAAAGGTGGGTGGAGGGGTGGAGGGGGGGTAGGGAGAGGCAGCGGCGTGATGGGTGTGAGAGGGCTACGGGTGAAGCGCTCTGATGCACCACCACCTGTTTCACTCCACCTCTGAGTAAACCATGCCACCTCCACCTGTCGGCCCCCCAAAACGAGAAGCAGAAACACAACAATAAGCTGCATTTCTTTACAGGCTATTTGGCCGTTACTACACTGCACAGATAATAATAATAAGTTCATCTCCAGAATCTACATCAAAGCCTTTCGCTGACCCCCTGCAACCCCCCCCAACCTGAAACCCGACAAAGGTCCCAGACTCCAAGAACGAAAAAACCAGCGACTGCTAATGAGTAATGTGTCTGGTTTTCTGGAATGTGGAAGTTTTCAAAAGCGGCATCCTCCTTTTCTCTGGATGTCCCCAAATGGAAAAATGATGGAAAATATCGAGATGCTACACGATTAGATGCAGGAGGGGCGGAGGGTTGTGGTCGGGCTGCCGTACCATCGCCCTGAAACAAAGAACCATGAGACTCGTGAAGTCCTGTTGGAGCAGGCAGACGTGTTGACGGGGGGGGCAGTTGTCTTCACTCACAGCCCCCCTTCAGCAGCCATGAAGCATTTATGAGCAGGCATCTCCCTCCTCTGCTCTCTATTCCGCTCACCTCTCCTCCTCTTCTTCTTCTTCTTCTACTCTCTTTTTGTCTAGTGTCTGTTCGCCCCATCCCACATCCTGACACACACACAAACACACACAAACACACAAACGCACACTTAAAAAAAAAAAGCCACACGCTGACTTCTGCTTAAAATAACATGAGGGTTCTTCTTGGCTTTCTGCTGCTTTGCGTGCGTGAGCGGCGAGCGTGCCGACTCTCAAGCAGGTGCAGCTGCAGGGAACGAGCACATGTGTGTGTGTGTGTGTGTGCACGTGTGTGTGTGTGTGAGGTCCAGTCCTCTGCTCTTTGATCCTCGTCCTGACAGCCCACCACCTGGGACGATCCGTCACGCGCCGGCGTGGCTCCCCGTGCCGCGGCCGCACGCCGCGGGAATCACAACAGCCCGCCTTCCGCCCCGCACATCACACGCTGTCGGAATCGCTAATGCTAGCGGCGCTATGGCGTAGATGCGGCATCAGGATTCTCATCGTCGTTGGAACGACTGAACGGCCGTAGCTTGAAGACACAAAAAAATGGAATTACAGCGTCCGATACATTGTTGCATGATATGTTGCAGTGCGATGCTAAAAGGCGATGCTAAAAGGCGATGCTAAATGGCGATGCTAAATGCTGATGCTAAATGCAGGTGCTCCTACCTGTTTTCTCCCCCCTCCGCCAGGCCCCGGAGGGCCATGTTAATGAGGTGGATTTGTGTACCCCAGAGTGACCTTACGTGGCCTCGCATCGCTCCGTACGCCCGGCGTCCGGGCGAGCAGCAGTCTGAGCTAATTAGCCGGTAATGAGGGTTAAAATGGAGCATTTGTGGGAGGCGATGTCCTGCTTTCATTCAGACATATCCTGAGAAAGATTCATTTTATCTGGTTATGAAACAATATGAAATTGAACTATTCTGTTGTCCAATTGCTATACGTGTAATTTGTAGTAATCTGTGGCCATATTTTGAAGGGAATGTTAACGCGTAAACAAAAACCCTCAAACTGCTTTAGTGTGGACAGGCTTTCTGATTTGTTTTCTCCATTTTCATTGCAAATGATTTTCAGCTTAATGGCACTCGTAAAGTACTTGAGTGCTAATATTTATCACTTCCCCCGAGATAATTTCACATTATTAGTGTTCCTCCTTCAACCCGGGACACCAGGACTGCTTGTTCCTCGACGTTAGCCTCCGTGAGTCCAGTCGTCTCCTCGATAATGAAGAGAAACGACAAGGCTGAACTGCCACGGACCGACGCTAAGTGGAAGCCCCCCCCCGCTTTAAGCTTTTCTCCGTGTGAAATTCATATCAGTTGGGTGACCTACATGGAATACATTTTTCGCCCCGTGATCGCCTGTCAGTCGTGACTAATTCCCGCTCTTATCTCGGCGCCTTTAACTCGTGAAAGTCTCGCCGCTAAACGGAAGCGGCGGCCGAGGCTTTAGTGAAGTGAAGGAAACCCCTCAAGGCGGCGTGAATCTCAACGCCGGTCACGTCGCCGGTGCCGGGCTGAGGGCCAACTCCTCGACACCCGGGGAGGGGGGGGAGGGGGGGGGGCGCCGCAGGAACTCACATCCATTACGCCCCCCCCCCCTCGTCAAAGGGGCCGTGGCATCCGGATGCCAAAGCTGCTCCAGATGCTCGCTGTTGGGTTTCAATAAGATGCGCCACAGGGCCGGTTTGACGGGGGCCGAGCGACCCCTCCCCCCCCCTCCCCAGCGGATCTGTGCCGTAAACACCGCGGACAAGATGTAAACAAAGGTGCACACGGCTCGGTTCTGGGTACCTGGGGGGGCTGGAACCTCACCCAGGGGAGACGTAGGAACCTTAATAACCAAGTGAACAATTACATTGAATATATTAACACAAAAATCATCATTTTACTGTTTAAATTTAAAGATATGCTACTTGTTTTACATCACTTCAAATGATCTCAAAGAGATGTTGCAAATGTGCGGATTAAGAAAAGATGATTTATTGATGAAATATATATATGTGTGGCAGCATCCCGTCACGTCGTCTCTGTGTTTGTATGTAAAATGTTTTATACGTCTACGGGAATTTATGCTGCGCGGCCAAAGTGGCCGTCAGCTATTTTACTGAATTGTGTCCCAGGTAAACAGCTTGGGGGGGGGTTTACAACTAGAGGAGGGGATCGGTTTGTTGTTTTACATTTTACACCCGTCCCTCCTGCACAACGCGACCGCAAAATAGACCACGCACAACAACGAAAAAGGCTATTTATCTCCACGTAATATTCACTCACAGTGTGAACGCATTCGTGGCTCATCGAGCGGTGGGCGAGTGAGTAGACGCATGCATATGAGTAAATGCGACCTCCGGTGAACGGGTGAGTCAGCACCGTTTGTGCGCTCGCTTCCCGGCGTCGTCGGCGCAGAAGAAAGCGGCCGTCTCTCCGCTCCGGTGTCTCGTCCTTAACATTCGCTCAGCGTCTGCCGCCGACGACAGGTGTTGCCAGAGGAGATGAATAGAGAAACTGCTCTTTGTTGCTCCTCCTGCTCACCCCCTGTCTCCCCCCCCCTCCCTTCTCTCTGTGTCTCCCCTTTTCTCCCCAGGCTGCTGTTTTGTCACGTTTTACACAAGGAAAGCTGCCCTTGAAGCCCAGAATGCACTGCACAACATAAAGACCTTAACAGGGGTGAGTGCGTGTCCTGGATTCTTCCTCCGCCTGCTTTCTCCTCTAATCACACGCTTACAGCGGCGCCCCGAGGCGGCCCCGCCCCCACCTGTGCGCGGGGAGAACATCAGCGGGATGCTCTGCTGCCATGCTGCATTTGCATGAAGCGGAGAGTCCATGCTGGGGGGGGTGGCGGGGGTCTGGTGTCCTCTCTGCGCTGGAGGTGTCCACCTGTTCAGGACGGTTTCTGCACGGCGGACTGACAGGATTTGGATTATTGCATAAAAACCTTTACGATGCTGTTTTGTTGCCTGCTGTTAAAGGCTTTAGACCAGCCGGGGGGGGGGGGGGGGGGTTGGGCGGGGGGCGGGATCTGAGTCCGCTGGCGCTCTCTTTGGCCCCCAGGTTTGGATATTTAGAGGCCCTCCGAATACCTTCGGCTCGGCTCCATTGGCCGCCTCCCCTCTTGGCGGCGGCGGCTAACTGGATCCACAACAGTGGAGCCCCCCCCCCCCCCCCTCCCTCACCCCTGCACACACTCCCCCCTCCCCAGGCAGGATAAGGCAGATTGCCGCGAGTCCCAGAGGCCGGACTGTGAGTGGAGCTTGTTGTTTTTTGCACGGAGTCGCCGTGTTAATTGCTGGTGGAATAAGTATGTTAACATCGGTCTCCTTGTCCTGTGCCGGGGGGAGGGTTGGGAGGGTTGGGAGGGGGGGGGGGGGGGGGTGTTAGCCGCTCATCTCTTTGTTGGAGGTGTGAAACCGCCCTGGGGAGGACACTCGGTGCTGCAGCTTTGGGATTACAGGAACATGAAATCGCCTTCTTCTGCACAGCGACCATCGCCGTCCCTCCTCCTCTTCCTCAGCTGCTCCATCTGCTTCTCGCCGGTTTGCGGCTTTTTGAAGGCGGCATAAAGACGACGTCCTTCAACCTTCAGCAAGATGGATTCAACCCGCATCCATTCATTCATTTTAGCATGCTTCCTCCTCCACCCGTGAGTCGTGTCTGCGTGTCCTGCTCTCCGCCAATCAGAGGGTCTGTTTGTTTGGCGTTGGGAGAGGTGAGGCGGGCGAGGCTGCAGCGCCGCTCCGCCTGTACGGCTTCACCCGCTCAGCTTGAAAGAGGGGCGCCGACGTCCTTGGAGGACGCAACGTTTGCATCAAAAGACTGACATGAAATGAAACGTCATTTTCACTGAGTTACATCTCAGTCCCATTAAGAGCTAACAAATATTCATCTATTCAGTTTTATGGGATTTATTTATGATTATCGCTGATTTTGGTCATTTAAGTTTGGTTTCGGAGAGAAAACAAGATTATACCCTTAAAACTGCTATGAAAATAATGTTCATTCATGTTGATTTATTTTTAACTTCAGTCCTAAAATAACCACCAAATATTCATTAAATATGTGATTCTTTACACAATGCCACCTCTAGACAAACTATGTTAATATTTTCTCTTCACTAAATGAATGAAAATATTTTTTACATTCACGGATGTTTCGACTCCGTAGTGCAGCAGCGCCGCCCTAGTGGACACCAGATGTAAGCGCACACATTTAATCAACAAATCTGTAAACGTGAATCACAGAAAAACCACAATAAATATTGTGTTGAACACAGATGTGCGTCTTATAAATGAGGCATAAAGAAAAAACTAAAAGGAACTCGTCAACAAATAAATCTATATTCATATAAATATACTATAATTGCCAGAATGCTTGATGTTGTGCTGTTATGTTTACTTACTTGTGGGGGCATTTTTGTGTTTCTATTTTGGCTCCAAATAAACACACATGATGTATTACAGCTGAGTTTCAACACAAACACCTCTGCCAAGAACTGAGCCAAAACGATTGAAAGAATCCAAAATGAAAGCGCTCTAAATGTCCCCAGTTAGGAACGAGGATTAAAAGAATAAACCACAGAGTCAGGAGCGGCCGCCTGGCGGCGAGATGAGACGAGTCCTGGAGATCTCCGTCTCCAGTAAAGTGGCGAAAAAGCTTCAGGGAATAATTAAAACGGTCCGTTGTAACCCAGACGACATCGATGGGCAGCACAATGTCTACGGAACCTGGATCCTATTTAAAAGGCCGCCGGGGTTCTGACATCCGATCTCTCATAAACGTCTACAGACGGAAACGGTTTAAACCAAATATGCAG